TTTTTCTAACCCAGGCACACTCCTCTACTTCTCTGCTAATCCTCCTTGGTTTCCACAGCCTCCTGGGCCCTTTCTCACACCCTACAAAATAGGCCCTTAATAAGCGTTGCCATTCTTACATAGAACTTTGTTTCTGTACAGATCAGTTACACATACAGTAAGTCTCAGTGTTCCTCTTGTTCCACTTTTCTGCATAGGACTCACTACTGTGTGGAGCTCCACAAATTAGGACAACAGCTCAGGTTTCACAGAAGGTGTAATTCCCGCCGAGAATTAGGATGAGCGGATGAGCAGATGCTCTTTAAAAGTTGCTCATAATTAAGTTGAATCTTATACCATGTTGAAGCCTCCCTTTCGCAGTCATGGACTTCAAATTACTATGTTCTCACCCTAGACTGCATAAGTTCAGAAGTTCCCAACTTACAAATCTAAGAACTGAAGTGCAGGTAAATAAAAATATATTTAAATAAAGAAGCTCCTTCATTTTTTTCTTTCAGTACAAGGGATTGAACTCAGGACCTTGTGCTTGCCAGGCATGCATCGCTTCCATTAAACTATCTCCCCAGCTGATTATTCCCATAAACACCAGGAAGTTGACAATACCATAAGTATAAAAATAATACATACAGTAGACTTGACTTAAAGAACATCATGGTTTAACCTAGCCTGGCTTAAATGTGCTCAGAAGGCCTAAAAATTAAGTTGTAGTAAAATGTTGACTATCTCACTTTGTTTAATGCTGTGTAGTATTGGCAGTGCACCACTGGACTGTGTAGCTGACTGGAAACAGGTTTGCTGCCGCTACTTAGTGTTGCAAGAGAATGTTGCTCTGCTATGTGTTGCTAGCTTGCGGGGAGATGGAAACTTAAATTTCAAAGTTTGGATTCTATTGAATGGGTATTGCTCTTGCCAAAGTTAAAAACTGAAAATAGTGCCTTTGTAAATTATGGATCATCTGTATTTATAACCAAACTAGAATAATTTAGAGTTAATTCAGAGATACCTTTAGAACTACAATCTGATCTAATGACATGCTATCAACGACAAGCAAATTTTCTTTCACTGTAATTCATCACACTTGTGGACCTTGCTATAAGACTTAGAAGAATGATGGATATATACAATAAAATATATGGCTTTATTGCTTGCTATCCTGAAAAACACACATAAAGGGCATATTTTAAACATTCAATTAATCATTGAATGTTTAAAAGCTTGCTCATTGCTTTTGACATAAATTGTGTCTTTTCCAATTAAACTCAGGGATCATTATTTAGGAGAAGAAGCAAACCACAAGAGTCTGAGATTGCCAGCACGCTATGTGGATACCATGGCTTATGAAACATATGCAGCTCAGTTTTTAAGCAGGTCTGTCCAACATAGCTTTCACTCTAGTCCTTCTGTTCATTGTTCTGCCAGTGGTCTGTTTCAAATACGGGCTACCAGGGGTGTCTCAGCCTCGCAAGGGGAAAAGGAGGAACTGGCTTCAAGACAGTGACTATGTCACACATATTCTTTCAATTATATCTCCCTTTTTCTGGCATACTCTATTTAATTGTATTGGAGCAGACATGGAATCATGGTACTATACGTGCAATGAGTACTTACAGTGCTCCCATACTATAAGTATTGGGACATAATAAACAAGCTTTATATTCAAATTCGTCCTTATGAAGTAATTTTTGAGGCACCAGCCATCCATATCAATCAATTCTCCATCTGTCTATTCATCCACCCATCCATCCACTCATCCACTCAACCACCTACGCATCCACCCATCCATATAAAGATTTCACTCAATCCACCCTATAGGATTCTTCTCCTCAGTCTGCTAGTGACAGATTATTGTATTGAAGAGATTTACCTTCTGAAATACTCAATGAAATTGGAGGGATGTACAACTAAATCATCATCCTACTGTCTCATATATCATGAACAACAGTTAGTCCTCTATATCCTGAGCAATTGGTTCCATAGGTGATCTTACAGACAACCTAAATCCACAGATGCTAATGTCCTTTATTTAAATGGACACAGTATTTTTTATAAAATACATACATTTTCACATATCCTCTGAATTATCTCTAGAGTAATTATAATATCTGCTATAATATAAATGCCATGTGAATAACTGTTATGTTATATTGTTTAGAGGCTAATGATAAGAAAAATGTATGTACACATTTAGTACAGACCCATTCTTGGAAAGCACAGGTTCATATTTTATGTCACAAGATCACCATGCTTGGTTGATTCTGCAGAAGGGGCACTTGTGGACACAGAGGGCCTACTCTCTTCCAAGATGAAATGTTTTGTCACAAGTTTTTAAGTTCTGTTTTCTG